ACATATTTCTCCTGCTACTATATCGCTCCCATCCGTTTTTTGTGATAGAGCTGGACGTGTCTATACTTGCACACCTTGGATTGCTCACACTCATTATGTGTTTGCTTCCCATCATACCAGCTGTTCCACCGAGTAAGGTAACGACTCTGGTATGTGGTCTTCCTATTTAACCATACATATCTCGATCATAATGACTAAGCAACCGCTAATTTCATTTTATGCGCACGTGTCACTTGTTATCCGGCCTGTGACTGGAGAACGGCCAAACCTTGCCGTTTGGGGATGTGGTTGTTCCGCTTCCGGTAGAGGTTTGTCCTTTGAATAGTGTCTCATTTATTAAAAACGCGTTGAACGTATCATCCCAAGCGCTCTCGTGTGTCGGGATCGTTAGGAACACGCGTTATCGAACACCCAAATCAGGAACGTCACGGTAGCCAACTTTGACCATTTACTGGAACTGCTCACTTCGGTTCCGGGATATCCGAACCTAGGTGGTCTTTATACCTTCGGAAAGAATGTCTGCTCGAAAATCGTTTCAGAAGGGCTTGGTAAACAATGATTCGGTTTTTATTTGGGCAAGGTTTCACTTTTGACACAAAAGCTTCATCGGGCCAAATGAGCAGGTCACCAGGTTTTAAGGTAGACAGAGAACTAATCACTAATACCTATTCATTAGCACACTAGGTCAATGTTGACTGTCAACTAACGGCTCATGTCGGTTAGTGTGGTTGCTAAAATCTTCCACTGATGGGTTGAGGAAGTCTCAAATTAGTTCCGATCGGGTTTGTTTCTTTAATGTTCCACTTCAGGGTGATTCGATTGATGATTCACCTCGGGTGCCACTAGTATATTTATTGGTCTTTGTGGACTCGTGAGTGTTGCAACAATTTAGTTGGGGGGGGGTGGATAAGTTTAAGTGGAATTCAGGTGATGGCTACTCCTTCCGATAACCGCACACCAACACGTGTCACTTCGACTGATGAAAAACCTGTTCACGGTCCTTAGCTCCCAGTGGCCAGGGGCTCCATATGTTACACCAGCAGAGCGAAGAGCGCTCAACACTCTAAAACAGGTGGACAGCATTTTGATCACAAATACTGATAAGGGTATGGCCACTGTGATCAGGAACAGGTCAAGAAACATCTACCTCAAGGCCATTGCAGGCAGATCAATATTGCGAATATTACATCCATAATGAGTAGGAGTAAAGGTGAAATTCGCAGGTCTTCGCGGTTGGGGGAGCCTCAAAGTATTTCCAGTCGGGTTTGGTTCTTTGATCGCCCAATTCAGGGTGCTGCAACCGATGGTTCACAATGGGTGCCACTAGTTGATTTCGTTAGACTTTGCAAGCTTGAATGTTGCGACAGTTTAGTTGGTGAGTGAGGTCAAGTGGAATTCAGATGATTACTCCTCCTTCTGATAACCGCACACCAAGTGTCACTTCGACTGATTCAAAGCCGTTCTCCACACGCTTGTCAGTTTCACGCCTTCCATTCTATGAATACTGGGAGGCTTGACGATTTCTGCCGCCTGGGTCATCAGACTTTGTGATGTGAGCCACAGTCATCGCTTCAAAACCTCAACATTATCTAAATCTATTTTGTGTTCCGTGTCCAATATATGTTCCGTAATTACCTAATCTTTCAGTAGTACTCGGTATTCATCTGCCATTCCCGGCGGTCTGTTTGTTTTCCTCGTATGCTCTCCGATTGTGGTGTGAGGTTCACTGGCCGTCTTTTCTATATAGACTCTACTGCATTCATTGCACTTAATTTCGTTAAGACCTCGGAGGTAGCTCGAAGGATTCTAAACATGGCTAACATAAGAATACCTTGTTCGAGGGGAAACAATGCGCTCTGTACTGGTGTGATTGATGGATCGCTTCCCGGCAAACAACAAAATTGAGTGCAGTGAATGCAGTAGGGTCTATATAGGAAAGACGGCCAGTAAACCTCACATCAGACCAGAGATGCAATCGCTTTTGTACCTGGCTAACAATTTATATTCATCTTGTGGCACGCAAACCGCGCTTCGCACGATGTTGGTGCAGTATTTTCCTGGTCGATTGGCTATCAGCATCAAACCAGGTTAAGTGTGCTTAACTGGCAAGCACAACAGGACGAACCATCTTCTGGTAGACCTGACCAAACTGTCGGTTAAATGGCGGCCTACTTGTCAGAAGCCGATGAATACAGCTTCTGGTTTAAACAAACCGTGGATTGCTCCGTGTCACTCTTGGAATCCCATGCTGACAGTTCACTTGGTAGTGTTGACGTTCTAGCTTTTGCCCGAGGGTCGCAGTCTGGCATCATGACACAGGAGCAAGTCCTATCGCTTCTGGACCTCCACGCCTTCAAGACATTCCCACACACCTAGGAAACTGTGTCCTGACGCCGTCGTCAGTTGGGCCATCGGGTTCCGGTCAACCGAAAGCAGATCCACCGAGCCAACTATGCCGCCATCCAGATCCTGTATCACGAAAGAGGGGAACATTCAGCGTATTTGTGCTCGATGGATCATAGAAGGATCTATACAAAGGTAACTGCGACCTACCTCTTGACACCGAGGAGTATTGAATACAGTTGCTTTCAGCTCCAAGACACGATATAGATGTGTTGTTCGAAAGTGCCATGTGATGCGAGCTGTAAAACTGTGATGCGATCAAGATGAGACATGCGATTTTGTGGACGTGGTGACATTTCAAGCATGGGACGGGCGGGTACCCGATGAACATAGACATGTGCTTTGCAGCCGATCTCATTCATGTTACCTGTGCTCAGTGAACAGCCTTCTATAGGGGGCAATGGACTCTTGACCCACCTCTGTTGAAGCTTGTGCGAGCAAGAGATTGAGGCACAAATTGAGTATCTGGTAGCCCATTGGGATGAAAGTGGCGAGGTGAGGATCCCAAATGTCTTTCAGGCCTGACAAATCGCTGAATTTTTGAGTAAAACCGTCAACCGATGACATCGAGTAGGGTGAAATCAATGTGGTTGCGTAGATGATGCTAGTCATTTGGTAATCGCGTCGTAGATCAAAGGTGCACTCGACCACCGTTCAGGCGTTCAATCGGATAGATCTCCGACCAGAAATGCTAGAACAGCTTCTCGGAATTGGGCAAATTGCACTTTCCCCGGACGAGAGTAGACAAAAATGTGTGAACGTATTCGAGTCACTTGAGTTCACTGCGTGCACTGTGGAGCTAATTAAGGGGGCTGTGGAAGATGCGCATTTCCGGGAGAGACCACAGTTCATTCGAAATTCCCGGGAAACGAATTCCGGGAATCGAATGACCATCCTACATTCGGCTAGCAGTTCCGACCACGCCACCGACTGTATAGGCGCCACCACTTCAAGTTCCCCCTTTCGTGCATTTGAATCCAGATGTGTGGTTGAAACTGTGTGAGTCCTTACTCGAAAACCACCATGTGCCTCAGGTTTATGAGAGGTTACCCCATTTGGTCGCACGATTACCAATGTCAGGTGATGCGCGTCTTTCGACACACCACTCTAGATCCACTGCGATTTGGACTTAAAGGGTGGAAACTCATGTTTACAAAAACAGGCTTTCGAACTAGCCTTGGTGTCTAAGTGAGAGGCGCGGAATTTCCACAGTTCCGAATTTCTCGACTGTTACACCTATCCATCAGAATAGAATCACAAGGACATTAGTTTCGCCATATCTGTGGAATACACCGTTTGTGAGAAGTTGACAGCACCCACTTCGACTAATTCCAGCAATCCTGACCTAATCGCTGTTCGGGAGCGCCGAACTACTGTGATAGACGTCACCGTATTCCCGGATGGGTGCCTAGTGACTACTGTGTGGAATGGGAAGAAGCAGAAGTGGGTTGCTGCTGTATATTCCCTCGCCATAATCTCAGCTCTACATGCGATTGGTTGTGATGTCGGCTTTCTGGTCCACCAACCAATGATCATATCTTATCGAGGGATTCGCTTCCCTCAATCCGCCAAGGCTGTTATTGGACTGGGACTTCCTAAGTTCACAGTCAGTGACTCGTGTTTGCTTTGTATCTTGGGTCCTCTGCGTACTCACAAAAATTTATGGGTGGTATATGGCATTGAGTGTACATTTTTGCCATTTAATCTCACACCAAACCCAGTATGACGGGTAGTTTGTGCCTGATGTGCGAGTCTCGACTGTGCGAGTGCTTACCGCGCCTTGAACAGCATTGAGCACTGTTTTTCCTTGCTTCCGTTGTCGTGGGGATTAATCTTATGAGACTGTACCTGTTGATAGCATGACATCGAGTGAGACCATCTACCGACTATATATCGATTTGTTGATGGTCGTCGGGCCGCCCGACTCGGGGACTCCCACTCTACTTGGCCGACTCAAGCAGCACTTGAAATTTCCTCTCGTTTTATCGCTGTCTATGTTCAGTCAGTCAGTATCAGATCATCGGGGATTTGTAATGCAAATGACTAGGTTCAGCGGCCTGCTATCAACTGCTAGCGTTCTCGTTCAAATAGTTCTATCAGAATCAAGGCAATCACGCTCGCACCTCAATGGGATGCGAAACCTCACTAATGTTCTCACTCCACACCCTTCCCTAAATCAGGGATTTTATAATCTCCAGTTGGTGAGACGGATTTCACATATTCTATATGAGATTATCACAAACAGGAGCGTAGGTAACAGCTTTTTGGGACAGACAACATTGAATCGCGAATATGATGGGTGAATATACGCTGAAGAAATGTGTCGCGGAACAGTGAACTAGGGTTAGGTGAGTGCATGCGAAAATGCCCAGTTGGGAATGGTCGACAGCAGACAAATAGACAAGCAATGCTGAGTCAAACAGAATAGTCAGCAGGCTCAAAGTTATCGTGGCTACATCGCGCAAAATCAATAGCGCGATTTGAAAACTTCTCACTGAATCAACTGAGCACGAGACCAACATTCAAGCAATTAAGTAAATAATCAAAGGTGCGGACGATGGTGCGGTGCATTTGGTTGGGTTAAAACAAGATTACCACTAATTCCACGGGAACAGTTCATTTGCTACTTGTGGATACGAGACTTTGGCGAATCGCTTCCAGTTCAGTTCGCCTGACGCAATATTCGCAGGTAGGAGAGAATCCGCGTACGTGGCGTGAACACAACGCCCGCTGGAGTTGCCATAGTAGAGGGACCGACACGCCACATTCAACGTACACCTGTCAATTGAAACATGCAAAAGAGACTTGTTTAGACAAAATGTGTGGTGAGTTCCAACACGTGATTGCGTACAGATCTATTGGGTTGGTTGCCCAATTTTCACCAGCTTCCTTACCAACTTTGGGGATGCGACTTTAGGTTGAGAAGAAGAGAACATATCCCTGTCACACAAAGCATATTAATTGAAACCTGCTAGACCAAATTTGGTTTGACCTCACAAGGTTGCAACATGACTAAATCATCAAGATTCTACCCGACTGGAATGGATAGGTTCTAGTGTTCATAGTAACCGCACAGTCAATTACTCACTTGCGTCCGCAGTCTATTATCGACGTCGAGTTCGCTTCTGCAAAACACCCGTAACCATGTGTTTGAGAGCTGATGACTTCGGTTAGTGATACGGGAAAATCGGAACGGTATTGTTGCAGCAATAGTCCGGTGGGCAACACACCACCATATTCACAGTACACGGCCAAGCCTAGTTCGTAGCAGTCAGATGGACAGTCATACATTTTGCCGTTACCGTGTGTGACCACAACGGTGCTATTGGCCTGTGGTTCGGCAACAGCAAGTTGCATTTCTGGCCCATTCGTCATGAAGCCCGGTGTCCGAGGATCGACGTCACGCCATCCGACCGCACGCTGTGTCGGTTCGGTCAGGAATTTATTGAACCCAAGCCAAGTGTGACCAGTCTCAGAGTCATTGGGAAATACTCGATTTGCGTTGCGACCAAGAACGAATGCCAACTGTCCACGTGCAGCGCCGTATTTCGCACACATTTCACAAGCCGCGCAAAACGAATTAGCGGATGCCAACCGCACAACACATAAGCCTGGTGAAACTTCATTGTAGGGCGACGGACACTGTGAATGAGCCCTCATGATTGCTTGCAGAAAAGCAACGTACAGAAGAATCATCGGTTCTCTCATGGATTGCACATGATCACGGTTGCTCCGTGTATATATGACGAACAAAATAGATGTTCATAGGCTGTTGGCGTCAGCCAATCCATGCGCGTCGCTGGGTATTGCATATACGGGATTAACCGTTGGGTGTTGAGAAATGTTCGGCCACTTCTTGTCGAAACGCACATGGTCTGGCGTGCACGAGCATTTTCGTAACCTATGCATTGCAGTCACCTCAAGCGGGAAATTTCGGGACGGTCCAGTACTTTGTCGCTCTACACAATGTACTGATTGGCCGTTCTCTATAACCGGAGAGTGCGACGGTCCACCAAGTGACCTTAGTTGTATTTCGTCCAGTAATTTTTCTTCAATTACATACAACGAGGCAAGCACAGAGTTGGGCAATCGCTGTTTCTACTTGATTCCACCCGAAATCGCTGAAGATTTCGGGGTGCGATGCTGAATCCATTCGACCAGAGATTCATTAGAAGCCATCCAATCCGCGTGATAGTTTCCGTCTGATTCCAAAATGAACGACTTCCTGGCATCTTTTCTTGGGCTTTCGATTCAATCAAGTCTCTCATCTTTTCAGCTTAAACCAATTCTTTGCCTTTTTGTTGCGTTCGCGTCAAGTACCAATGTTTACCATAATTATAACTTTATTGATTATATTGATAAATGATGCGTTATAACTTCCGGTGGTTGGAATGTTGATTTACATGCATGTGCTCTGAATAGCCCTCGTGGTGCATCCCATCTGTGGCACCGTTTGGCCCACCCTAATCAGGGTGGTCTCCACGATGTTGCATCTTTGCACTTACTGGATCCTACCAGTGGTCCATATGGTTGGCCATATCGGGATTTGAACTCCGAATATTTGTGAATCGAGTTGATTTTTTTTACCAACACTCACGCGTTGCACGATAGCCACACCTGAACTGTCTCGTTTGAATTGCGGAGTGTGTTCGTGCTTGAGCGCGGTATCTGGGCACAGATGGAAAATACCCTCCCCAAATAGCAAGTCATCATCACCGTTACCACGTTGAGCATCTTCATCATTATTATCATGGTAAGCAGCATCGTCATCAACGTTCGTCATCATCATCATCATCATCATCATCATCATCATCAACGTTCATCATCATCATCATCATCATCATCATCATCATCATCATCTGCCATGGAAGTGTACAGTAAGACCTGATCCAAGTAAGGAACTAAACATAGTCTGAATGCTGCGGAGCCCTGATCTCTATGGAAAACATTCCACATCAGGTTATGCTGTTATTGGGGGATCTCACGCGGTACAAACCCAGCACATGGGCACAGTGAGGGTATCAGTCGGTCATTCGGGTCGGGAAGAGACTGCATCCGCGCAAGTGGGATGGGTTGCCTAATATGAATATTATGGTTAGCGAACAAACACACGTGGGGCACCGCGAGGACGAACCCCGCTCAGGAATGCGCCAGTTACCCACAATACTCATCCTGGCAGTGACCGTTAGCCTTTCTCACTGTCATGTCATCGCCTGTCCTCCTCGAAGCTTGATTTGACAGCGGTTTGATGGGCACAGCAGGGGTTTTCTTTGTTAGTTTGAGGTTATAAATGAGTAATGCATGTCCAGAACAACTTAATGTGACGAGTGTTACTTGTTATTCAGGCGAAAATGACTGCTGTTTTCTTGCTCGTCGGATCATTAGGCACTCGTACGAACTATTCAACATCAGCTACGCTGAAAGACGGCGATGAATGGCCAAGTTAGTCCGTACATGAGCACCGCAGAGTATCAGAGAATGTCCTTTCCCAATATTGCATCATCATCACAGAAGAAAAATACTCTTTCAAAACAGTAATTTGTCCTCCATGTGGAGGACTTTGCTAGAATGAGGAAGGCCTCGGCAAAGCCTTTTAGAGACACTAAAGAAGGATGAGCGGGATCGACTGAATCATTTGGACGGTAGATGATGGCGGAATGAAATGCATTTAACTCGAGGAGAGCGCACAGCAACATCTCCACCAGCCCGGAGTACCATCCAAACTCACTCGACTACAAGAATGACTAAATCAAAGGAAAACTGCAAACACGATCCACAGGAAACCCAAAAAAGACCAAGTGCTTCAACTGAGCCTAAGAGGAGAGTACTGGAAAGTGAGAGCTCAGGACCCAGCGATTACCCGCTTCTACGGACCTCTATAAACACACAAAGGGAACGACGCTACCACTAGTCAAATCACTCCCGTGAACTCCAAACTACAACCTGTAAAATGAAGAATGAAGGGGTTTGAAATATCTCATGAATGGGTCACAATACTCAGTCAACAATGCATGGCGATTCTTGGAGAAACCGGGGAATATAAGCATTGAAGCGAACGAAATAATGGTTTGTTTGGATGTAATATCATTGTTCAAGCCGGCAGACCCGGACTCTTCCAAGACAACTGTCGTAAAACTGCTTGATAGACACGCTACATCTAATAGATCCCTGAAAAGAAGAACTGTGTGAATTGCTTAGCCTATACCTGACCACATATTTCGAGTTCAACAACGAGTACTATGAACATAACCGAGGAATAAGGATAGGATCTTCGATTGCAGGGGTTGTAGTGCAAGAAAGGAACAAAGAGCAGTTTCAGATATTAACCCCTAGATATGGGTTCTCTTCGTAGAAGACACTTTTTTCATCGTCAAAAGGAGTGAGCCACAACGATCAAGTCAACTAATTAACTGCGCTTGTGATGATACCCACTTCACAATGGAAGAAGAAATCGGTTGAGAAGTGACATTCTTGGACGTCCTCATCACGAAGCTATCAAACTGACAACTTCAGAGGGAGTTCCACTGAGAGGCAACCTATACAGACCAGATTCTCATCTACCGCAGTATTCATTAAAACTGTCAGAAGCAAAGCTGTGTCCGGAATTCTTCACCGCACTGCAACACTACGGAGTTAAAAGTGACAGAAGAGAAATGCTTGTGCAGAGCTTTCCAGAGAAATGAATATCCCAGAACCATCATCTGGCGGACTCTCAAAAAATTGATTTCGGCCAACCCAGAAGCACAGAGAGAGGGCGAGCGGATCACACTCCCATACATCAGGAGTGTTTCGAAAATGACCGCAGTACAACACAACTGTATCCCACAAACCTTAAAGCACCCTAAGGAAAACATTATCAAACTTAAGGGGATGATTGAGAACCAAAGTCGTGTACACAAGATTCAGTGCGGAGATTGTGGTAAGCACTACGTGGGACAAACAGGAAGTATGTTCTTTACCAGTGTAACGGTGATACTACTGACGAGGAGGCATGCGAGTAGCATGGTTTATTCTTGTAAATTCGCTTTGGGTCTCTTGAAAAGGGAGATCTGTTGCGGAATTTGTGGAGTCGCTTTGTAGGATTTTCTTGGATTTGAGCAATGAATGATTGGTGTCAATGAATATCCAAGAAAGTTCAAGAAGTCGCGTTTAGGAGAAGATGGATGTCCAGTTATCGTAAATGAGATGCAAATGAAAGTTTTGCTTCCCTATCCAATGGTCTGTAACTGTTCAGTTGGCATTTTATAATCAATAACTTCGCAGCGAAGGCCTTTTTACTTTCACCAGAATATATGAACACGAACTTGCAACCAGAAGACATCACCAAGTTCCACTGGTCTCCATGCGCGAAGATCAAAATGGGCATAAATCCGACTGGAGTACTCTTCACATATTGGCTCAAGTGAGGACAAAAAAGAACGTGAATCGACTGGAGTACTCTGCTCAAGTGAGGACAAAAAAGAACGTGAATTAATGGAAGGACGGCACTCCACTGAAAAGGCCTCTAACAGGCAAATTGGAATCGACGCAGTCTATCAACAACTGCAAGTAAAATAACCAAGGAACTACAGACTAAATAGAAGGGCGAACTGAAACAAACAAACAAACAAAAATCGAGAGGAGGAATCCCGATTTCCCGGACTACCACAGAAACGAAAATTCAAAAAAGAGCATGAATTTGCCACAGCCACCTCGTTACATCCAAACTTGTCAGGAGGTGACTACAAACTGCCTCCAACCAACTTGGTCATCACGGAGAAGGATGCTCGCCATCTTTTGTACAAGACAAATCCACTCAGTGCGTTAGGCCAGAGGAGGTCCATCCAAGGATGTTGCAGAGAACGTCGCTTGCACTGGTAGAGCATTTCCACCTAGTGTTTCGTCAGTCGCTTGATGGAGGCAACCTTCTCTCTGCTTGAAAAGGAGCGTTTGTCACGCCAGTCTACAAAACTGGCGACCGTTTATTGCCCGGTAGCCACAGGCTTATTAGCTTTACTAGCGTACCATGCAAGGTGATGAAACGCATTCCGAAGTGGGTCATCTGACAACCAACAACTTGATATCCAAAGTGCAACACGGAACCCCAAAACCGTTCTTGCATGACAAACGTGCTGTTATTTTTGGATAGCTTCACCCAAGCCAAGAACGAATGGATCATTACAGATGCCATATTTTACGAATTTCCAAAGGCATCGATCGAGTCTCAAGGGTCCCGCCACTCCACAAACTCGATTCAAGGAGGATTAAGCGTTCCTATTAGAAAGAACGTTTGAATTAAAGTTGAGCTCAACCAACTCTTCTTCAGCACCAGTCTTTATTGGAGTTCCTCAGGGCTCTGTTTTGGGACCATTTCTGTATCTGATCTACATCAGCGAACTTCCTGATGTTCCTGATAGTCCATATCTGCTTTTCGTGGACAACTTGGAATCCTGGAGTTAAAATTAAATGCCCGTCAAATGTGTAGACCCTGCAAAGCAGTGATTGCTGGACTGGCACCTTCCTCTGAATAACGAAAAGCGCGTCCATATATCATTCGTAGGAGACTTGGTGAATGCCTTTGTCGTGCGTGGTGAGAATGGACCAACAGGAGTTGGGTATCTGGCTCTCTTCAAACATGTCCTTCTTACCGCACCATGAGAAATCGGCTCAAAAGGCATTCGCCATTCTACAGTTAGTTCGGTAAACCCTCCCCTGTATTGCTCGCATGA